TTTCTAGTTTTAAAGGCCCTAGGCAATCATTTTATTAATTCACCCTGAAAATATAAAGCCATTAAATTTTGTCTGGGTAGAATAAATCCCTGTGGCCTCCTTTAAAGCAATGTAGGTCTCTGATGCCCATGGGCATATCTGTGTCCCAATCCACAAGAGATAAGACCAATAAACAAGGAATGTGCAACCTATTCTTTCTCCTTGGAAAGAAGGAAACATTCACTTGGGACAGTGGGCAGACTCTGTCTTCTCCCTCCTGTCACTTCTTCTGTGTCATTTTTTTCTAAGTTCATTTCATAGGCAGACTCAGAATACCTGAGTCCGAAGATATCAGGATAACACTTGTAAATGTGTGACAATCACTACACTATCCCATATCTAAGATTTTTTAAATGCCATTTATCCACTAACACTATTGTGCATTAGTCCTGCATAATCCTACAACGCTAGGGAAGTATTAAAATGTTTGACATATCCTAAGATTCCTTTCCGAGGTCAAAACAAGGTATCCCACTCCATAATCAAGAGACAAGTATTTTAGTAACATCAGATGTATTTTTCTCTTTTCTCTTATCAAATAGTTATTCTTCCCACACTCTAGGTTTGAAGTCTAACCCCTTTTTTTCCCTCTAGAATAAGGGGTAAGAGAGGACGATGAAATGTTGGAACAATTAAACATCCCTGTCCTTTTTCTCCAAAAGCCCTTTGTATTCTAGAAGATCTGTGCAATCTTTTCTTTTTTTCCACATGACACTGTGGGCCTAGGCCTGAAATGACTGGGAAGAGAGATGAGTATCAGGACTTTTCATCAAGAATTAAGCAAAGCATACATCTTCTTTAGCATGAATTAGACTGGGGTGGAGTGGGAGGGCTTGGAAGAAGGAGAAAAGAAGGGATTATATTTGAATAAATGTGAATACATTTCTTAGATACTTTTCACGAATCAGACAGCTCCCCCCAAAAGGTTCTTTTCTATCTTTCTAAGGATGTAAGCCTTAATGAAAGCAAATCTTAGTCACAAGTTTGAGGAGGTTACCCCATCATAAGTTTACATGTATTTAAACTGAAAAATTGTTAACCACGCTTTTGCTCTAAGATGTGTAAGGGCCGTTCAGGGCTGAGGGGGCCTGGATAGATGCACAAACAAGCATGTGTATATGTGGAGCCCCACACATTGTAATAAACACAGCTGCATTTATTTGAGTATGTGATCCCATGTACATGTAAGAACATTCAAACACACTCAGCATATATATTTGATGGTGCAATGGGACAATTATTCAAATAAACATGCTCAGTGCAATTATTTGAATCTCACATTGCATGTTCATCAATCACAGCATTAATAAAAAGAGGGGGAACAACACCAAAGAATTTACGTGGGAAAACGTATATATGAAAACAACCTTATTATAGATTTTATAGGGTTAGCCAAAGTTATGGCTCCCTTCTTCTTAACTGTAACTCAACTATTCTGAATTCAATGACATTTGTTTCTAATGACTAATTGGTTCATTCACTTGATCCTTATATCAGAATGACCACAGCATTTGGATTCATATAATAACAAACTTTATAAACCTGAATTGGGTAGAGATGTAAAATCTCTATATTTCAAGTGCAGAATAGTTCTTTCTAGACATCTTACGTCAATGGGACTCTGGTCAAATTATTATCACTTTAAATACCACTCCCATCAATTAAAAATTTTTTATACATGCAACAAAACATTCCTACATTTGAAGACACACAAAAAAAATCACAAGTGACTCATCTGATCATTTTATATATTAATAAATATAACATATATGTGAACACATCACAAATCATATAGGTGTACCGAGAGGCAATTTATGGCCTCCCTTAAGTATGTACTGACATAACCTAATATACTAAAATGGGAAGGGGCGTTTACTCACTGAAATATGCATCGTGTAACAAAGATGAAGAAAGTACATGGCTTGTGCCCATCATAAAAAAGACTCCAACTGAAGGCTTAGCTTTGGTTTTTTATTCAATTAAATTGTTAAACTGTGCACAGTGATTTTTTTTTAGAACTTGAGACATTTGTGATGTTGGCTGTTTAAATCTTTGTTACCTTCGCTGTGAATTGAAATTGTACATATTTAGTAAATCATGCAGACAAAACAAACTTTTTAGACAATATTTTTATTGGAGAGTTTTCTTTTCCTGTATCCATGTTAAAAAAAGAAAAAGAAAAAGAAAAAAGAAAAAAGACCTCCTTTCCCAAAATAAAAATGTCGATACTAAATTCAAAGAAGTATAAAGGAATGATTGCTTCCTTTAGAGCTAAATATTTAAATAAACATGGAGATAATTGGCAACATGTTCTTTTGGCTAATAGGCCGTGTCCAATTTTTTGGGTCTGATGTTTCAGAGGGCCTCTGTTTCAGGGTTGAAGATGATATATTAATCTCTGAATTAAACAAATGCTATTCAATAACAGAAATAAATCCCTCAGTCTTCATTTATGTTTATGAAACATGGAATTAAATTCAAAGACATGACACTGAGATAATACGATGCTGAATATGACACAAACTAAAACTCTCTCTGTTAAAACAGTCATCTTCCACCTATAATCTAGCATGACATGTTACAATGCTCCAAATATTGAAAATATAAAATGAACATTACTGCTCCCATTTGGCCTTGAGATGAACATGACAAAGACTCTAATAATTTTAGTCAAAGAAAATGATGAGTAAAAAAATACATGAAGATTAAAGTGATGACAGATGATCTTTTAAGTATTCTAATTGGTCTTTCTCCTTCAATTCTTTAATTCTACAGAAATTGCAAATCCTGATGATTCTGATTTGTAAATGCATCCAGTCCGCTTTCTCTCTTTCACTCAACAGAATCTGCCTGTTAGATTTGGAACGAAGACTAAGCCCCCAAAATGTTAAAAATAGACTACTGCCCTGGCAGGAAATTTAGCATTGGCAAGCACAGAACTCAGAAGGAACTGATCTAACATAAGGAAATATTCAGAGAAAGATTTGTGCATTATAATCCTGTTCTGACCATTTTCAAAACAGTCAGCGTGGGGGTGGGGGGAGAGAGTAGTAGGTTTGCTAACTTTGAGGGTAAACTTGAATAGCTAGCATTAAAAAGCAACAATACCCAAGAGATGGAAGGAGCCCCAACAAAATGCTTTTGAGAAGTTATTATATTGTTATCTTACACAAATGGAAACCACTTAAAATGCTGGTACTAGAAAATTAAAATGTTCTGAAGACCTCACCACAAGATAATTCTATATAACTTATAAGATATGCTAACAATATAACAGATAAAATGATGACTTATCTTTATTCTTTTTAAAATATATATATATTTTTATTGATTTCAGAGAGGAAGGGAGAGGGAGAGAGAGATAGAAACATCAATGATGAGAGAGAATCATTGATCAGCTGCCTCCTGCACACCCGCACACCAGGAATGGAGCCTACAACCTGGGCATGTGCCCTGACCAGGAATCAAACCGTGACCTCGTGGTTCAGAGACTGACACTCAACCACTGAGCCATGCTGGCCAGGCTCTTTATTCTTTTTATAGGAAACTTAGATTCTAGTTTATGACCTTTCCTTAAAGGAGAATCTTTTTAATCCATTCCTAAAAGAGTCTTATTATAAGGCAAAGCATTACAGTTACATCCCATTTTAGTTTTGTTTAGAGAAAGCAGAATACAGTCTTCAAATTACTTGAAAAAAATAGAGATGAAGAAAAGAACATAAATTTAGAAAGGAAACTCAAGAACATCCCCACACTCACAGAAAACATGCTG